ACTAAACGAGAAAAATATGCAGCCAAGAATACTATGTCCAGCTAGGCTGTCATTGAAAATAGAAGGAGAGATCAAAAGCTTCCAGGACAAACAAAAACTAAAGGAATTTGCAAACACGAAACCAGCCCTACAAGAAATACTGAAAGGGGTCCTCTAAGCAAAGAGAGAGCCTAAAAGCAGCATAGATCAGAAAGGAACACAGACAATATACAGTAACAGTCAACTTACAGGCAATACAATGGCACTAAATTCATACCTTTCAATAGTTACCCTGAATGTAAATGGGCTCAATGCCCCAATCAAAAGACACAGGCTATCACATTGGATTAAAAAACAAGACCCATCAATATGCTGTCTGCAAAAGACTCATTTTAGACCCAAAGACACCCCCACATTGAAAGTGAGGGGGTGGAAAACCATTTACCATGCTAATGGTGACCAAAAGAAAGCTGGGGTGGCAATCCTTATATCAGACAAATTAGATTTTAAAACAAAGACTGTAATAAGAGATGAAGAAGGACACTCTATCCTACTTAAAGGGTCTATCCAACAAGAAGATCTAACAATTGTAAATATCTATGCCCCTAACATGGGAGCAGCCAATTATACAAGCCCATTAATAACAAAGCAAAGAAACACATTGACAACAATACAATAATAGTGGGGGACTTTAACACCCCCCTGACCAAAATGGACAGATCATCTAAGGAAAAGATCAACAAGGAAATAAAGACTTTAAATGACACACTGGACCAAATGGACTTCACAGACATATTCAGAACATTCCATCCCAAAGCAACAGAATCCACATTCCTCTCTAGTGCCCATGGAACATTCTCCAGAATAGATCACATCCTAGGTCACAAATCAGGTCTCAACGGGTACCAAAAGATTGGAATCATTCCCTGCATATTTTCAGACGACAATGCTTTGAAACTAGAACTCAATCACAAGAGGAAAGTTGGAAAGAACTCAAATACATGGAGGCTAAAGAGCATCCTACTAAAGAAGGAATGGGTCAACCAGGAAACTAAAGAAGAATTTAAAAAATTCATGGAAACCAATCAAAATGAAAACACAACTGTTCAAAATCTTTGGGATGCAGCAAAGGCAGTCCTGAGAGGAAAGTATATAGCAATACAAGCCTTTCTCAAGAAACAAGAAAGGTCTCAAATACACAACCTAACCCTACACCTGAAGGAGCTGGAGAAAGAACAGCAAATAAAGCCTAAACCCAGCAGGAGAAGAGAAATAATAAAGATCAGAGCAGAAATCAATGAACTAGAAACCAAAAGAACAGTAGAACAGATCAACAAACTAGGAGCTGGTTCTTCGAAAGAATTAACAAGATTGATAAACCCCTGGCCAGACATATCAAAAAGAAAAGAGAAATCACCCAAATCAACAAAATCATGAATGAAAGAGGAGAGATCACAACCAACACCAAAGAAATACAAACAATTATAAGAACATATTATGAGCATAGAGTTCTATGCCAGCAAATTAGATAACCTGGAAGAAATGGGTGCATTCCTAGAGATGTATCAACTACCAAAATTGAACCAGGAAGAAATAGAAAACCTGAACAGACCTATAGCCACTAAGGAAATTGAAGCAGCCATCAAAAATCTCCCAAGAAACAAAAGCCCACGGCCAGATGGCTTCCCAGGGGAATTCTATCAGACATTTAAAGAATTAATACCAATTCTCCTGAAACTGTTCCAAAAAATAGAAATGGAAGGAACACTTCCAAACTCATTTTATGAGGCCACCATTACCTTGATCCCAAAACCAGACAAAGACCCCATCAAAAAGGAGAATTACAGACCAATATCCTTGATGAACATGGTTGCAAAAATTCTCACCAAAATACTAGCCAATAGGATCCTACAGTACGTTAAAAGGATTATTCACCACGACCAAGTGGGATTTATCCCTGGGCTGCAAGGATGGTTCAACATCCACAAATCAATCAACGTGATACAATACATTAACAAAAGAAAGAACAAGAATCGTATGATCCTCTCAATAGATGCAGAAAAAGCATATGACAAAGTACAGCATCCTTTCTTGATCAAAACTCTTCAGAGTATAGGGATAGAGGGTACATACCTCAATATCATAAAAGCCATCTATGAAAAACCTACAGCGAATATCATTCTCAATGGGGAAAAGCTGAGAGCTTTCCCACTAAGGTCAGGAACACGGCAGGGATGTCCACTATCACCACTGCTATTCAACATAGTATTTAGAAGTCCTAGCCACAGCAATCAGACAAAAAGAAATAAAAGGCATCCAAATCGACAAAGAGGAAGTCAAACTCTCACTCTTTGCAGATGGTATGATACTGTATGTGGAAAACCCAAAAGACTCCACCCCAAAACTGCTAGAACTCATACAGGAATTCAGTAAATTGGCAGGATATAAAATCAATGCACAGAAATCAGTGGCATTCCTATAAACCAACAACAAGACAGAAGAGAGATAAATCAAGGAGTCGATCCCATTTACAATTGCACCCAAAACCATAAGATACCTAGGAATAAATTTAACCAAAGAGGCAAGGATCTGTACTCAGAAAAGTATAAAATACTCAGGAAAGAAATTGAAGAAGACACAAAGAAATGGAAAAATGTTCCACGCTCATGGATTGGGAGAACCAATATTGTGAATATGTCAATGCTACCTAGAGCAATCTACACATTCAATGCAATCCCCATCAAAATTTCATCCACCTTTTTCAAAGAAATGGAACAAATAATCCTCAAATTTGTATGGAACCAGAAGAGACCCCGAATAGCCGGAGGAATATTGAAAAAGAAAAGCAAAGCTGGCGGCATCACAATTCCAGACTTCGAGCTCTATTACAAAGCTGTAATCATCAAGACAGTATGGTACTGGCACAAAAACAGACAGATAGATCAATGGAACAGAATAGAGAGCCCAGAAATGGACCCTCAACTCTATGGTCAACTTATCTTGCACAAAGCAGGAAAGAATGTCCAACGGAAAAAAGACAGTCTCTTCAACAAATGGTGTTGGGAAAATTGGACAGCCACATGCAGAAGAATGAAACTGGACCATTTCCTTACACCACACAGAAAAATAGACTCCAAATGGTTGAAAGACCTAAACGTGAGACAGGAGTCCATCAAAATCCTAAAGGAGAACACAGGTAGCAACCTCTTCGACCTCAGCCACAGCAACTTCTTCCTAGAGACATCGCCAAAGGCAAGGGAAGCAAGGGCAAAAATGAACTATTGGGATTTCATCAAGAGAAAAAGCTTTTGCACAGGAAAAGAAACAGTCCACAAAACCAAAAGACAACCGACAGAATGGGAGAAAATATTTGCAAATGACATATCAGATAAAGGGCTAGTATCCAAAATCTTTAAAGAACTAATCAAACAGGACATAGCCATATGTTGAAATGATCCCAATTCTTCACCCCTCCCTTTGACATACTCCCTGTTAGGCAGTTGTGTGCTCTCCTACTCAGGCCTCTTGCCTTGATTCAGCCATGTCACTCACTTTGGCCAATGGGATTATTACACTGAAAAGTGCTGGTGCACTGCTGCTTTCACTTTTCTCTCTCAACCATTACTGTAAGACATGTGCAGGGTTGCCTGCTGGAAGACAGGACACATACAGAGAAGAGACAATCTGCCTCAGTCTTCCCAGCTAAGGCCATCCTCCCGGAGTCAGCAGTCAAGACTGCATAGCCAGGATCAACAGAATTGCCTAGTTGATAATGCCAGTCACTTGAGGTTATATGACACTAAAGTTTGTGTTTCCTAGCTGATTAATATGCTAAAGAAAATTTTATTTAAACATTTTATCTTGTGCATTATCTTCTGTATTTGATAACCAAAATTCATTATAAGGCATACTAAGAATGGGTACCGTTCTACATGTTTATTTCCTTAAAGCTCATTACTTTTTCATTACTTCTTGTATTTCATTGAAATGGGTACATTCTTTTTTTTTTTTTTTTGATTAGTTATTTCTTTATTGATTGTCATTTGGGCTATTTCCAAGTTAAAAAAGTAGTGCAACAAATATTCTTGGGTCCATCTCTTTATTCAGGATTAATTTCTAGGAGTGGAAGCTCTGGGTCCAAACCTAGAATATTCTGAATTTTAATTGATATTCCTAACTTAAACTCTAAAAAGGTTGCATTAATTTACAAGCAAAAAATGCTATTTCTTTGGATACTTAACAATCCACATCTTTGCTAACATGATGGGTAAATGTGTTTTAAGTTTCATTTTTTAATTCAGTGAAGTTTAGTTTCCAGCTTTGTAATTTTGGTTTCTAGCTTTATCCGTTTTCAGTTCATTACGTTTTTAATTTCTAATTTTAGCCATATGCTTGCTATTAGATTACTCTTTTTTGTATAGAACAGCCTATTGTTCTTCTATCATTGTAACATCCCATGGAATCTCACTGGAGATCGGAAACAGAGTTGTTAGGTCTCAGACTTTCTCTTTTAACCTTCAAAAAGGTAGCGTCCTACCTGCCTCTTTACTATCCCTATGGAATATATCAGAGTTCTCAACTTACCAGATTCCCTGTCTGAGTGAACAGAACTTTTTTTCAGAAGTGTAATATGCATAGAGAACTCAAAGTTCCTCTTTTGATCTAATTTTCTTATAATATCTGAGTTCTAGCTCTTCTATTTATAATCCATTTCTGACCTTTGGACAAATCTGTCTAGTTCTATCTTTGTAAATCCTGGTTTCAACTTATGCTATCAGGGGACTGTCTCACTTAGGCTCTTGATAGATATGCTACCCTAGGCAGGTGCTGGTCCTTGACGGGCAACACACAGTTACAGCAAGAAATGTTTCACAAATGGTATCTGATATGGTCTAGTTAAGATTAATCTTAACTTGGCCTAATTAAGATTAATAAAATCTCATTGCTTAGAAATAATTATCCATTGACCTGAAGTCAACAAAAGTCTTTTTTTCCTAATATTAAAATATAAAATTGTTTGGAGGGCAGGGGGAGCAACTAACTTGAAATAAATCAGAAAACATCTTCACATTAATCGTTCTTCTCATATACTTCAAATTTGTACTTAATGCCTTTCTCCTCCTGGATATCAGATAGAACACCTGGGTATTCTGGCAGAAGTTTGTATTTCTCCAAATCAATTTCTGGAAAAAATGTGTCACTTTCAAATTCCTGCATAATCCTTGTCACAAATAGTCTAAGATGGCCTGTTTTGTTCATGGCTTCCTTATAAACAGAACTGCCTCCTACTACCCAAACCATGTCCACTTTATTTGCTAATTCTGGTTGCTCAATAAGTTTTAAGGCATCATCCAGACTTTTGGCAAGAAAATGAGCTCCTTGTGGAGGTTCCTTGAGGTCTCTGCTGAGAACTAAATTAATTCTGTCCTTTAAAGGTCGATTCTTCTCGGGAATAGAGAACCATGTCTTCCTCCCCATAATTACCAAATTCTGTTTACCTTCTACTGAGGAAGTTGTGGTCATTCTTTGGAAAAACTTGAATTCGTTCCTGAGCGGGGGCCACGGCAGGTCCCCGTTCTTGCCGATGCCCATGTTCTGGGACACAGCGGCGATGCAGTTTAGCGTACGAACCATGACAGCGGCTGTAAACACCTCCCAGCTAGCTCACCAAACCGGGATTCGGCCCGCCGAGCTTGGCGCGAAACTGTGGCCACCCCGCCTCCTAGGTCCCGAAATGGGTACATTCTTATATCTGGATCCACAAAGTTGTAATCTAGCTAGACCCAAGTTTTATTCCACCAGAGGCAACAGGCCTTGAGATAATTGTCATTTATACTCAAATAGTCATTCTTATTAGTAGACTTATCCTTACTAATTTTAATTATGAATACACTGGTAACATTGTCTGTAATATAATTTATGGTATAATATGCAAAATAAAAATCATCTAGCAGAGAGTAAGATACAATAAGAAAATAGGGACAATGAACCTAGACAATACAAGACTATGAGCTGTCATGTAAAAGCATCAGTAGTAAATTCAGTGTGACTGTGGAAGGCAGAAATTAAGCTGGGGAATGGAAATTATGTAAAATATATTATCTCAACCTTAAAACAAGTTTTTCTAAAGACCCAGAGATGGTTCAAGGTGAGAAATAAGAGTAAATATAATTTGTTCTGTTTATCTCTTCAATGTGGTCCTCATGGGTTAGATGCGGAGCCTGCTATTGTTATCATCCCATAATTGACTTAATTTTAGCCTCTCTCAGAAGAGCCCTTTCTACCCAATCCATGCTATAATAACTGGAAATTGTTTCTGTGGGGCTAACTAAGGGCACCAGGACTCCTCTGCTACATTTCCCCAGGCCATCAGGGACTCCACTATTCACTGGTGAGTTCATCTTTTCCTTGCTTAAATTCCCATTTGCTGTCATCTCCCTCAGTCCAAGGCCTGTGAGATATCCTGGTGCAGGAGAGACATGCTCATGCAGGGAGACTCTACAGGCTGAGTTGCATTTTTCCTTCAGTTTCTATAAAGAAACATTCATTGGGTTGGAAGAAGCCTCACCAGATCACCTCTTTCATCCTCTTGTCTCTACCAAGGTACAAAATTGCAGGGGGTTTTCAGACAGAAACACTACTAAGGAGATAAGAAAATACTCTTAACTGAAGAATGGGGTATTATTAATCTATGAGCAGAGCATAAAACAGAGTAAAACGATGTATTCCAAAAGAGGATTTTTATATTTTGTGAGAAATTTTAATTAAAAAAATGTTTAATTTTGACATTGTCTTTCATTTCTATGATGTAGTTTCATAAACTTTTTTGCATTTTTAGAATTAAACACAGTAACTTTTGTATCCTTGCATCTACCATTAAAGAATTACTCAAGAAAAGTAAAGAAAAGAATATTCATGTAAGTGATGAGATAAACATGTTTATTTCAGTCAAATAATTAGTCATTCATGAGTATGTCTGTGTGCCTTCATAAATAAAACTTATTTTATTTTTGGCAAAATTTACTTGTTACAAATTATAAAAAGAAATTAGTGTGCACCTCAAAATAAATATGTCTCCTTTCCTGAAGGGCAAATCACAACCTACTGGTTATTTCATAATGAAAAGGTAGGCAAAGAAGAAAATGCAATGCATTTGTACTTTGAGAAGAAACTCCTTTCTTTCTTTTTTTTTAAAAAATTTTTTATTGTTATGTTAATCACCATATATTACATAATTTGTTTTGGTGTAGTGTTCCATGATTCATTGTTTGCTCATAACACCCAGTGCTCCATGCAGAATGTGCCCTCCTCAATACCCATCACCAGGCTAACCCATCCCCCCACCCTCCTCCCCTCCAGAAACCTCAGTTTGTTTTTCAGAGTCCATCATCTCTCATGGTTCGTCTCCCCCTCTGACTTACTCCCCTTCATTCTTCCTCTCCTGCTATCTTCTTCTTTTTCTTTTTTCTTAAAATATATTGCGTTATTTGTTTCAGAAGTACAGATCTGTGATTCAACAGTCTTCCACAATTCACAGCGCTCACCATAGCACATACCCTACCCAATGTCCATCCCCCAGCCACCCCATCCCTCCCAACCCCGACCACTCCAGCAACCCTCAGTTTGTTCCTGAGATTAAGAATTCCTCATATCAGTGAGGTCATATGATACATGTCTTTCTCTGATTGACTTATTTCACTCAGCATAACACCCTCCAGTTCCATCCACGTCGTTGCAAATGGCAAGATCTCATTCCTTTTGATGGCTGCATAATATTCCATTGTGTATATATACCACATCTTCTTTATCCATTCATCTGTCAATGGACATCTTGGCTCTTTCCACCATCTGGCTATTGTGGACATTGCTGCTATAAACATTGGGGTGCACGTACCCCTTCGGGTCCCTACATTTGTATCTTTGGGGTAAATACCCAGTAGTGCAATTGCTGGATCGAATGGTAGCTCTAATTTCAACTGTTTGAGGAACCTCCATACTGTAAGAAACTCCTTTCTGATACTTGTGTATTCCCATATTTTGGCTGGTGTATAGTAGGTGGCTCATAGTGTTCAGTGGCTTAATGAATGATTGAATGAATACACATTATTCTCAAAAAAATGATAACGATCTCAAAACAATGATTTCCTGTCACTGCATACTGGCTGATACAGTTTCATACAATATAATTTGGTTAATAACAATGGGAACCATAAATAAAACAAAGAAAATTTTCTGCTAAAATACTGCTAGATATCTAGTTGTATGCTGTGAATTTGGTAGCATTGGAAGGAAGGAAGAATTGGAAGCCTTCTTCCTTTCTCTAAAATCTGTCTTTTTGCTCTTCCATTACCCAGTTAATATCTGATGTCTGATGCCTGAAATTCCCCTGTTAAATCTTTATTTCTTTAAATTTAGTTTTACAATATTTAAGTGTAAACACCCTTGTAAAAGTTAACATGGGAACTTAGTGCTTTTCTCAAAAATAAATTTAATTAGGATTATTTCAGGAGATTTCAATTTGCCATGGGAGCAGTAGGTAAAGAAGAGATCTAAGGATCCTACTACTGAACTTGTGCACTAAGTTGCTAACATTTTTAGAAAAGTTAATATGTGGTGAGGAGGAGGAGGATGGGCTGAGAGCAGTAGGAGCTGAGGGATGAGGGCAGAGGATGGAGAAGACAGACAGTCACATGCCTGAGGGAGGATGAGAGCAGAATATGGTGATTCTGCCATATGTGCCAAATCAAAAATGAATATTTCTTAGGTCATTTGGTGCTTTTGATAAGCCACACAAGCTCTCCCCTCTGTTGGGTGGTTAAATCACAATTGATTTTAAAATCTGAAATACAGAAATAGCTGTCACTGTATTGGAGAAAACAGAGAATTTCCAAAGTCATAGGACAAACAATTCAGAATATTTACCTGTGTGACAGATCCAAAATAATTGTTTAGAAAATTTTAATAGGCATATGGATCTCTCTCTAAATGGAGACATCATAAAATTACTTTTCAAAATTGATATTTTTCTTTCCTAACCCCAGATTTTAATCAACACATTGTTTTGAAGTTTCTTTTCTTTTCTTTTTTTTCACTTGTATAGACATTTAAGATCAAACTGACTTCTTGAGAGATATGTGCAGAGATATGTAGAATCCATGGATTTCCCCTCCTGGTAGTGTGTCTGAGCTGTCCACTTCGAGAAGGTGATGATGTATTCGATTTTTCAAGGTTTTATTTTGGATCCCAAATTAAATCTCTTGGTAACCTAAACTTGCACAGACTATTTAAATATTAATGTCTATTCAGGTCTAATGTCTATTCATGGAATTTTAAATCAGTCTTTAATTAGATCCTTCTATTGTAAATTGGAAGCATTATCAAGGATAAAATGAATTTGAAATTATAAATTGAAGATGAGAATGAGTATTTTTACATCTCTAAAACCTTCAGGTATATTAAACTTATCATGAAAATCAACTGAAGAGCTACACAGGTATGAAGAAATAATGGTTTATGCATAGATGTCACATGTGCTATACTGGGAAGAGCACTGGATTTGGAGAGTCACATTAGAAAACTACGAATTAGGTAACTTACATGTTATGTACTGATGGGCAATCACAACATGCCTTAGATTTAGTTTCTATAAAAGGGCACCTAACAGGGCGCCTGGGTGGCTCAGTCGTTAAGCGACTGCCTTTGGCTCAGTTCATGATCCCAGGGTCCTGGGATAGAGCCCCACATCGGGCTCCCTGCTCACCAGGAAGCCTGCTTCTCCCTCTTCACTCCCCCTGCTTGTGTTCCTGCTCTCGCTATCTCTCTCTCTGTCAAATAAATAAATAAATAAAATCTTAAAAAAAAAAAGGGCACCTAACACAATACAGGTGATGATAGCACAAATTTCAATGTCTTCCACAAGAGAAAAAGGATATTTTATGATACCAGGAAATAGATAGGAAGTTCAATTTTTAATCTTGTCTTGTACCTCTTAGCAGATTCTTGGCATGAGCAACAAGGGAGCAGGCAACCACTCAGATGTAACTGACTTCATTCTTGTAGGCTGCAGCGTCGGTTCAGAGCTCCACATTCTCCTCTTCCTCCTCTTCCTGCTGGTCTATGGCATGGTCCTTTTGGGGAACATTAGTATGATGGCAATCACTGTGATTGACTCCCAGCTGAACACACCAATGTATTTCTCTCTAGGCAACCTCTCCTTCATTGATCTCTCCTACTCCACTCTTACTGCCCCCAAAGCCATCATCAACTTCCTGTCTGAGAAAAAGGCTATCTCCTTTGTAGGTTGTGTGGCTCAGCTGTTTCTTTATGCATTTTTCATGGTTACAGAGGCTTTTCTTCTGGCAGCCATGGCCTATGACCGCTTCATTGCCATCTGCAGTCCTCTTCTTTATAGTGTCCACATGTTAAGATGCTTTTGCACTCCACTGGTGGCTAGTTCCTATCTTTGTGGCTGGCTCAGTTCCATCCTCCAAGTCAGCATAACATTCTCAGTGTCTTTCTGTGCTTCCCGAGTCATTGATCACTTCTACTGTGATTCTTAATTTTAAGTAAGACTGGAAACTAAGTCTAAAATCATTGAGAAGAATTCCTATTCCAATCTGTCAATGAGATGGTATCTCTCAGTTTGGCTGCCTTCATTATTTTGCCTACAATAGTTGTTACTGTAGTGTCTTATGTA